CCTCCGCGGACTTACAAACCCACCTCAACGTACTTCAAGACTGGTACACTAAATGGCGGACAAAAATCAATACAACAAAGTCAGTGCAAATTACATTCACCATGAGACGAGAAGTATGCCCGCCTGTAACGATGAACAATGAGAGAATTCCTACAGCAACAGACGTAAAATACCTCGGCCTTCATCTAGACCAAAGGCTCACATGGAAAAAACACATACAGTCCAAAAGAAATCAACTAAACATAAAATTCCGACAAATGCAATGGCTCCTAAGTAGAAAATCAAAACTTTCGCTGAACAACAAAATATTACTATATAAAGCTATGCTGAAACCCATATGGACATACGGTATTCAACTCTGGGGATGCGCAAAACCGTCGTCGATCAATAGCATCCAAAGATTCCAATCTAAAACTCTAAGAGCAATTGTAAACACTCCATGGTACGTGAGTAACCAAACACTCCACAATGACCTGAAGATTCCCTTCGTGACAGCTGAAATACTGAGAATAACGAACTCGTACAACAAGCAGATAGCCAACCACACAAACGACCTAATAGACCAACTATACACCAATGGCCCAACCACGAGGAGACTGCACAGAACATGGCCCCCGGACTTAGTACACCAATGAAATAGCAACTGAGAGGGAGAAACAATACTGATTGTTTCCTTTGCAGATTAAATGCAAACAACACATTTACTTAATACTCTGTATAGATGTAGATTGTAAATGAGCAAATGTCGATTAAAAAAAAAAATTATCCAGATCATTCGATTTCGTATTATCTGTGTATCTGGATAAGTAATGAAGAGTTGAGTTTTGATAAGCACCGAATTTGTGTTCCTTGGGGAAAATACGTCACAGATGACAAGATCTCAATCCGAAAATCGTCAGCACTGTCTAATTGAATCGTGATTAATCTAATGTTATGTAAAAACCAGTATCTAGTCCAATTTTAACAAACTAAACACTCAATTGGGGATGTACCAAGAAATATGCAATTCTGAACGAACTAGACATAAGGTTAGATGCATTTGACGGAATGGGCGTAGAAAGATCAGTCAACTTTTTCTTTTTTTAAATATTAAATAGTCTGAAGAATTTCCTTGTTTCACCCACACGCTTTGCACTTTTCTTAGTGTAATTAGGATTAGTCTAAATATCGATTGCATTGCACCATTCAGACAAAACACTATATCTGCGACGATAAATAGGGACGGTAGCAGTTTCTTACTCATCTCGCAGGTAAAATTGATGGTCATTTGTATTCTTTGACGGATCGCATAACCTTGGGTTAGTCTATTTATGAATGATGTCCGCTACAGAAATGATTCGTCATCGTGCAAGTATACTTTTTTTATTCCAGAGAGATGCTTCTCGTTGAGTCGTAGTAACTTGTCCAAAATGAATTAAACGGATATAGTTGAGTTTAACCGCATAATTCAAAAGAACACTTCAAAGTGCTACAAACAGCAGTGAACCGAGAAAACGTCAAAAAACAAAATCGAGATGCCAGACACCAAGGAGCAGGAACATCCACCGGCGCAGACTCCAAACCCGAGATCCACCGCATACAGATGAAGTGTCAGCCAGGAGTACAAGACTCGACAGCTACTAGAGCGTGAAGAATTTGGTAATCGCATCACACTTCCTTCGTCACTTACAAAACCCAACCAGTACCCAAAGTTTTGCGGTCGGCCTTTCTTCTTGAAGTTTTTCAAGGAGGCTTTTGAATTTGGCTCTCACTGCACGAGTATATCCATGCCCAGTCATCACTTTGTCGATACTGTTTTGAGCATATATCGTGGCAAGGAGCTCTTTGAGGCTGCTCCCCGCCATGATATATCCAATTAGTCCCACCTACTCGTAGGTACCTCCACACTAGTCAATTCAGCACGGGGACAGTTTTGGACAATGTCCCCTGCTTTCATGTGCAATGGCTGGTCGTAGATGACAAACCATGTCTTCTGTCTATGGGCTTTGGTTTATGCAGCATTATCAAAGAGGGAGGTTAGGACAGCTTATTTTCTCTGCTGAAATATTTTTCGTAAAACGAGGCATCGGATTGTCAGGTGAAAAGTATTTTCACCATTCACATCACTGAACGAAACCTTTTCAAAAGGTGGCGTCCCCCCTCCTCGCACTATGGCTGATCTCGCGCAGATGTTCACCAGATGTTTGAATCCAAACTTCCGATACAGGTAGGTACCCAAGACTATCTTCCAGAACTTTTAGAGAGTTGCAAACCCTGAGTCCAAACGACATACTCAAAAATCAGAGATATATCATGTTTTGGGAATTTGGCGATTTTTTGTGCCGAGAGTGATAGGCTTATTTCGAAACATCCAAAATGTGTGTAATGGCCATGCTGAAGACCATACCAGTTGATAGCGCTGCTACCAAAAGTTGGAACGTTTCCATCGGTGTGTAGCTTCCCAAGAGAACTACTTTAAAAGGGATAACATTTATGTTTGAAAAAAATAAAAACTCAGTCTCATTACTTTTCTGCCACACCTCGTACCTAAATAAGATAAATAGACAGCTGTTCTAAAGAAAAGTGTAGTGAATTTTCTTAAAGCGGGAGTGATTTTGTTCGAGGGTAGGTTCCATAAATGTTTGCTGCTACGCCTTATCATTCCCTGTTGAAAGTAAAAATTGTGTTTTTCCAGGTAACCTTTTGGTTTTCTCGCCGAACTTGGAACACATTTTTTCAAGAATTTTGTTTCACATTGAGAGCTTCCCAAACCGAAAGGTGTATGAAAATGATAGCCTGGCAGTAACTTGGCCACTAATCACTGATTTGCAGACTCGGAATTATGCAAAAATAAGAAAACGGATGACTATAAAGAGACAAACAATTCATTTACATTTGCTCCACCATTTTAGCTCATTTCTTTCACATTTTCTAGAATTTTTTTTTTATAAACCCAGGTATAAACCCGAATAGTACTTTTACTAACCATATTATGCACGTTTGTTACCGTCCTTCGCCTTTAGTATCTATGCTCATTCCAACGTTTTTTTTTTTTTTTTTTTTTATTAGATATGCACAAAAGTACACGCATTTTTAACAACGAGGTCATATATGCAATGCAAAAACATTAAGTACTGAATGTGAAAATTAAATACATTTAAAAGTAATTGTCTGTTTTATAAAATCTAATATTTTGTCAACTTCACTTTCACTATCGCCCAGCGCTAACTCTATTCTTTCCGGGATTCTTAGATTATTTCTAACTTGTTCGTATTCTCGGCACTCTATCACAATGTGATTAACAGTCTTTGGAACATTACAAAATTCACAAATGGGTTGATTCGTTTTGTTCAGTAGGTAATCATGAGTTATTTTAGTATGGCCTATTCGTAGTCTTGTAATTACGATTTCTTCCTGTCTGTTCGCTCTAGATGATGATTTCCAGTGTTTTGTTGAAGGTTTTATACATCTTAATTTGTTGTTTGTTATACTGCTCCATTCAGTGTTCCAAGTTTCCAATATTTCCTTTTTAAAGTTGTTGGCTACATCTTCTGATGTTATTCTATTTAGGGTTGTGGATGTTCCTGTAGCGCTTTTCGCTGCACTGTCCGCGATTTCATTGCCTTCAATTCCAACGTGTGCCGGTATCCACAAGAAGACGACAGTCTTTTTTTGGGCTATTAGTTCTTTTTGATTCATGTGCTTTCAAAGTAAGTAGTATTTTCTGTTCTTCTAGAATATCAATCGGTGTAATTTTCTTCTCAAAATGGGGTGGGGTGGATAAAGTTTGTTTAAAGTTGACACGAAACCTTCCCCATGAAACTTTATTTATGAAACAAACGTCGTAATGTTGTTTCATAAATAAAGTTTCATGGAGAAGGTTTCGTGTCAACTTTAGTACTTTCTGATTGGATCATCATCCGGTTAAAAAATGTGGAAAATGAGGTGCTATTGAAACCTAGCAAATTTCCCCATTTTCATTATTTTATGTTCAAATCAAACAATTTTGGCCAAACAATCTGTTCAGTTGTGTTTCGTTTTGTACCTTGTATAACGATAACGGCAATTGATTTAGATTCTTTCACAATGATTCGTGTTAATTTAGATGTATCCAATTAAAAAAGGAGTTCCTGAAAGGTAACTTTCTTCAAACATTTTGAAAATAACATATTGATCCGTCACGGCAAAAATTCGTTAATGTGGTCCACTTCGTATACACTTTGCATTGTTTTTATTTTGCCTCAATTACATAAAATTTCAGTGTAGACTTTTCTAAAATTTGTTCATCCGTTTTGGGGATGACTTTACACTTTATATGTCTATGTCTGCTAAATAAGATGGTCTAATCTTTTATTTAAAAAAAAACTGAATTATGTATTGGTAACAGCCAAAATATGATCTCGAATGGACGCAATATTCAAAGAACGTAATGTAGAATTGTATGTAAATAAACTTTCGTGCGGACTAAAAGAAAATTAAGTTAAGACACAATGGAGGACGCGTAATCTACAAAACTCAATACCAGGAACCGTTATTGTTTTCATTACGTAGGAGGTCAGACCTAATTTTGTTGAAACCATAGCTAGGTCAATTCATTTAGAAAACAAAACCAGTATGGTAACCTTCATCTTCTAACCCTAATACACACCTTCAAGGCCGATCTTACACTAACGCAAAACGTTAAAGTATTTAGCAAAAATTACTGTTAAGAAACGACGAAACCGGTAAATATTTCAATAAAATGTATAAATTATTACAAGGAAGTGTCCGTTCTGACCGATCATTAAAATCACTTAACTGTGCTTGTAATTTTAACAGAAAAATAGTTCGATAATTAAATACTTAAGTAACGAACAGTTAAGCGCCGTGTTTAAACCATCATTATTTTTTATCGAAACCGTCTTAAAAATGACAAACAGAACAATCAACGTTGTTCAACCAGTTTGAGGTTTAATTAAGAATAGATAATGTTTCGCGCGCAATCAAGTCATGAAAAAATTAGCAAATGTTATTGAACTTACCTTGTTTAAAAGACTAGAATTATTTACACCAAAAAGTCAAAAATGAAATAAAACGGTCACTATAACATTTTAATTTATTTAAAATCGAGTCTAATAAAATAAGAGTTTCGATTATTTTTTCGGAAGCAGGGTAAATTAAACACACTTTTGATTTTCAATTTTTACGTGTGTTAATTACTGGAGATCATCTTCATGGTCGCGATCGTCACCAAGCCGATGTTAACTAGGGACTGGCAGAAGAGACTTCTGCCATCTTAGGGTACCATCCAGGTCATCGACTTCTTCATCAGCTCAGTCGTATGTGCTATTGCAAGGTGTTCAGGAGGGGATGTACCGTTACCACTTTTTACTTTGGTAATCAACTTCGATAGAGCAAGGTGAATTGGCTTATCATTGCTTATATAATTTATATATTTGTCAATTATACCTGTAAAAGATGAGCACATCCTTGAATTGCGGGTTTAAGGGATAAATGCACATAGCGTAGCTGCAATTTTATGTCCGGCTAGTGAGTCAAGCGTGGAGAATGTACCGATTTTTAGAAATGTATCATCTTTAAAAGCTTTCCATTACATTGAATCATTGCGACCAACGGATTTGCGCTCGTTTTAATTCTGAAAATTAATTAGCATTTAGTGAGCAGGAAGATATTCGCTAATTACGCTGGTGTCATTTGGTTTTACGACCAAATTAGTAATTTAGCCGGTGTGGATATGGCGCTTTACACGATTATTAATTCTAAAATTGAATAGTAAAGGCTAATCGATTAATAAATTTTCGATTAATAGATTTCGATTGAAATTTATCATTCCGAAGTTGGAAAAAATGCCCAGTCAATATGAGTTCGATTTTACCTTTATTTTGCGTGGTGATTTTTTTCATTGTGACAGATTTCATTTATTTTTATTTCGGTGTCAACAGCTTTTCCGGGATTAGATTTTCGCATCGGTTCAGAGTGGTAAAAAACAAACTTAAAATTTATGACTGTTGACGAATATAAAGATCTTTTTGCCCCGAAAAGAAAAATTTTATTCGTTAAAATTGTTAAATTGGTCAAAGGAAATCCCTACTGCAGGTTTTGCACACGCATGTCAAATTATGCATATGGTCACAAGAAGAAAAATAAGCACAGATTCAGTCTTGAACCGAGTCTAATTGCCCCAGACCGATTCATAATTTTGCCTTTTGATGCTTTCTACTTAATTTTTTTATAAACCTCCTTTAGGATCTTCACAACAGTTAGAATACCTAAAGTCGTCACAAAACCTTCTTACAATCCTTTTGAAGCCAGAGCCTTCTTAGTCTCTTAAATCCCTTGAGGATCTTCCTAAAACCACCCTTAGATCTTGAAATTGTCTTGTAAATCCCTTCAAAACTTTTTTCAACCTATAGAAAACCATTTAGTATGTTCACCTTCAGATTCCTTAAAAATTTGATATTCTTGCACACGCATGTTATATTATGCATATGGTCACAAGAAGAAAAATAAGCACTGATTCAGTCTTGAGTCCAATTGCCCCAGACCGATTCATAATTTGGCCTTTTGATGCTTTCTACTTAATTTTCTTATAAACCTCCTTTAGGATCTTCACAACAGTTAGAATACCTAAAGTCGTCACAAAACCTTCTTACAAACCTCTTGAAGCCAACATGGAATCTTCTTGGGATCCTTTCAGAGCCTTCTTAGTCTCTTAATGCTCTCGGAAACTTGGGAACTTCTCGTAGTCTTTGTTAAATCCCTTGAGGATCTTCCTAAAACCAACCTTAGACCTTGAAATTGCCTTGTAAATCCCTTCAAAACTTTTTTCAACCTATAGAAAACCATTTAGTATCTTCACCTTCAGATTCTTTAGAAATTTGATATTCTTAGATGTTCTGCAAACCTTTTTTAGAATCTTTCGAACCCTTATTAAATTTATTTAAAAAATTAACTAACCCTATTTAACGAAAATATAAAATTAATTAATTTTACTAGTATTATTTGTGGAATCATAGATTATTTTACATAATTGAAAAGTTGTATTCATTATGCCAGTTGCCTTCATCTTGAATTGAGAGCAATTTTGAGTTTGCCTTCTCGAAATGAGAAACTTTCATATTAAACTTATGACTCATGTCGGTGTTATATAGGTGGCGTGTGTGTAGGCGTTGGAAAGGGTTGTTACATCCTCCCTCTTCTGGATAGGAGAACGTCCCGGTTCCTTTCCAGAATTTGGATACGGTTTTTCTGCGGTCTGTGGCCTCGTTTGTTCCCTGGTATGAAATGATAGTTGATGTGTGGTTTGTTCCCAATGCCGGGACGTGCGTCATCTTGGATTTTGTAAGAGGTGGATGAAGTTTCCTGTAGGATTCAATAAGGTCCATCTCTTTTTGGGGCAAATTTGGCATTAATGTCCTCTAGGTAAGCTAGGATACTGCAAGTCGATGGAAGTCATCAGCGGGACTCGATCTGCACGACGCAGGTCGTCCATTATCTAAAAGAACAGAAAAATTCCCCTAAATAAATCTTTGTAGTTTTTAAATGCCTCCCTAAATAGCGATTTCAAACTCAAAAATTATAAGCGTCAATTATGTTATTTTTCGTCATATTTAGGAAACTTTGGAGAGGGGGTAAATTTTGTTTTTTGATTCTTTTCTTTTTATAATCCTCTTAAAACCTTCTTACAAATTATTTTTCGAATCGCTATAGAGATTTAAAGTCAGCTTCCTGGCCTTCAGAACCCTTACGACTTTCTTAATATGTTGTTAGGATCTTATAATTTTCTTCTTAGAATCTGCTGAGGATGCTCTTAAAATGTGTTAAAATATTTGTAATCAAAATACAACTAATAATTCCGTCCGTTCGTCCGAGGGTTTCAGATCTTCGTACGCAGACGGCGTAGGAAATGCTAAATATTATGTGTAAAAACTGCATATCCCTATTATTTTTATTTACTGCCATATTGTAATAGTTATTTACATATCAGGAAAATAACATATTACTGGCGAAGAAATATTAATAATATAAAATAATTTTTATACATCAAATTGTACTGAATTTTAATTTTAATGAAGGAGGCCTCGTACTTCAATTTCCGAGTCAGGTAATATCATTTTACTTACGAGTTTTGTATTACATTTTACCCGAAATCGTCTTTTAATATTAAATTTTAATTTTTATATAGAACTTTTGATTAATGTCAATCTGTCAGTGACGACAGGAGTCATTATAGACGTTTAGTAATGTCACAGGTGCGGGCGGTAAAGTGGCAGGTGTGGCCAGTAAAGTGAAAAGCGGCAGGAAACGTAGTATGCTCTGCCTCTGTCATGGAAACTAAAATTTCCTGAAAATGGTTTCAGGACGATTTTGGGTAAAAATACGAACGGTAGACATTAAAATACAACAGGCTAATTATAACTAAACAGATTCAAAGATTCGCTATGTACTTATAAACAACTTCATGTCAAAAACTGATAGATACTGTCAATTTCACCTTTAAAATGAACATATTTTTTTACCAAACAAGCTCCTAATAATATTTTGTTTATCGCCAGGTACCCAGATCAAGTAGGCGGCGTGCTTTATTCTTTATTCTTTAGAAATTCTTCCTGAAATATATTCCATTTTTATCTGACTCGATACGTTTCTGCACGTTTTTCCAACTATCTCAAAAACGGATGATCTTAGATTGCGAAGGAAGTGACATTAAAGAGAAGAACCCCTCTAAAGAGCACACTTTATTCGCTTTGCGTTAGTCCAGTAGGCTGGACAAACTTTTCGTGTAACAATTTACTCATTTGACATGCACACATTTCGAATATACACCAATATATTGTTGATAAATCTTTAAAAAGCGCATTGCTCCGATGGCAACCTCGCACATTATTTACCAGGAAAGGATCGCTTTAGTGAATCATATGTGGAGTGACTACATTTATATTACTTCTAGATTTAATTTATTACTTCTTTGTATCGGGTGACTAAATTGAATAGTCCCCAATAAAACAAGCTTTTCTATACAATCCCAACCGCAAAAAAATACACCCTGAATTCGTACAAACTACCTACTATGTAGTATCTAAATTAAGGAAATACAGGATGGATGAATAGAACTTTGGTTGAAATGGTTCGCTGCCTGTTAATTCAATCAACACTTTCGCCATCGTTATAGTCGGAGGCTGTATCAGCGGCATGTCATATTAGGAACAGACGTGCGACGATGAAAATTCAAGGATGGACCCCGTGAGTTTTGGAAGAATGGTGTATCCACTATTTTCGAGGATTTGGATGAAAAGCATACATTCTAAACAAATCTTCTTTTCGAAGGAGAGGAAATGGAAGAATCGTTTAGAGGATTGCATCAAATAACGCCGTTTCAAAGACATAGACGTCTTGGAATCATTAGAACAGGGCAACCTGGGCAGATGCGAAAAGAATACGCACGTTAAATTGACATAGAATCGGCAGTTGCAGGTGCCGCTGAAATTTCCACTTCTAACGTCCTATTGGGTCCTGATTCTAAAGAGTGGAAAGATGCAACGGCTTCTGAAGTAAAATCTCTGATCAAGAAAGAAACATGGCAAGTGGTGGACAAACTGGATGGTCAGCGAAGTATTTGGAGCAGATTTTTTCTGCGAAACCCAAGGCTCAGCGCGAGGATTTGGAATGAGAGCATGTTGATTGTTGCTTTCCATGAAACATTTGCTCCTGTTGCGAAACTAGCATCAATACGAGCTGCTGTTGCTGTAGCTTTTGCCAAGGAAATGAAAATTCGTCAATTCGACATTTCGACCCATATTGAAATATATTTTCAAGGAACAGATTTTCATGGAAACTCCGAAACATATCGAAGAAATCCTTGGGCATATTGTAACAGAACTCATGCTATAAGTTTTCTTAGTCAGTTTAACAACTGTTATGGAGAACCTCATTGAAAGGCAGCGAAGAGGATATTGCGTTATTTAAAAGGGACAAGACATTTGCACTTGGGGTATGTTCCAATCAACGAACCTCTGGTGATGTACACGTGATGTTGTCCTGGATTGTTCGTAATCGCAAGGAAGGTGTCACACAATGGATACAGTAATCTTACGACTAAATTGACCCTTAAAATACCATTGATTGTTATATCAAGGCAGCCAACAACAGATATTGATCGTATTAAAATATTAGGGTCAAAGATTATTATCTTTCCCCGAGATAGAAAATTTGAAGCATTCGGTCTTTGATGATATATGCACAGAAAAATTCTCCATGAATAACGATATTCGCATGAGGCACTTCTGTACAGACCTTTTTTTATGGGTCAAGGATGTAAAAGTTACTATGATTGGTCAATATCAAAATGTATTCGTGTTAAGATGCCACAAAGGGCATATTCAACTTATAGATCCGTAACCATATTTCCTGCTTCTAAATAATCCACTGTGCGCAGAAAGTTAAAAGAATCGTATGTGCTGTAGTCCACCTGTGCATCTTGCTATTAGAAATTATATTAACTTTAATGGTAAAGCCATTGAATTTAAAACTATAGTGCATCAGATACAGGTTGGTACGATTACTTTTATTGTATTAGGTAATATCGGTAATACTGTACGAACTAGTACAATTGTTGAAACGTTATCGATTAAAACGTTAGATACAAACTCATATGTTACTATTGAATTGCGCCACTTTGCAATGTTTTTAATCAAATTTACTCAGTCATTCCACTCAGTAGGTATATATTATTTCAATAGCGTGATTTCAGGGCCAGAAAGAGGGCATTGTTATTGTATTTGAGAAGGGACATAACGATGAGTTGGATTTCCACTGGAAAAAGGCATAGGTAAGGTTTCTTTGTATTTATTTACAAATTATCAAACTTGATCGAACTAATTTAGTATTTTTGACAGAAAAAATAAAAACAAGATTAACATTGAAAAAATAAGTTAATTTAAAAAGCTCGGTTTGAGTACAAAACAAATACTGCAGGTATTATAACAAGGATGTAGGTAATTAAAGCTTTTAACAGTCCTCCCGCGTCATCTCCTTAATGTACAATAATTTAACTAAGTAAACTGTCTTTCGTTTTACACTATCTGGCACACATATTATCCCATCACAGCATCTATCCAATGCACAAACTTTTGTATATTTGTATAAACACCAGGCAGGTGCTCTCTACCGCAGCCGATACCCCACGAAACTAAACCGATCAGCGTTTTTCTTCCTTCGATGGTTGTTGTTAGGGGACCTCCGGAATCTCCTTGGCAGGAATCTCTTCCGCCCTATGGAAAAAATAAGTTAGTTTCGAAATGAATGCGTTCCGCTGATTTTTACCTCTTTGTATCCGGCACATAGGAAAACATCGTGGATTGTTTCACGTCGACCCGCCGCTCGAAACCATCTTTGGCATCTATCGTTTGAGATCACCTCAACGTCTACCTCCTGCAGAACGGAGGGAACGGTGGCTTGCCCGTGCCGCGTGCGACCCCATCCAGCTACCGTTGCTTTCTTCCCTAATAATTTGACCTAAAAGGAGGATACTTTAGCCCTTATTGAGAACCATCTATAAATATGGGGATGGTCTGATATAAAGCTTCAGAAAAATATACGATTGAGTAATGATTTGTCTTGGACACATACACTTTCGATGGATTTTTTCAATTCTGAAATTCTTCTATTACACAAAATAAACCGTTTTTGCACTACGGACATTTGTTGTTGGCCAGAAGAGGAAGAATATTGGGCAAATATCCGCGCGGTTCTCATCTCCAGGTGCTATATCTCAATTGATGGAAATGAATGGCATATGGAACCAAACGAACATTTTCCCCAATGGTCCTAAATGGAGTTACGTCCAAAACAGTTCTAAACAAAAACGTTTCTTCTCTAATTCGTACACATATAGGAGAGTGGTCTTATTTTTGGAATCTTAATCTTCAAATGAGTTTAGTCAATTTGATACAATGGGAATAACAGGCAGTGTGGGTGATTCCAAATTGAGTGCAAAGATTTTAAAGGCGTATTTACCAGACAAAAAAAAGGAATTTTTTTATTAATTACGTATGCCCTAAATTGCCTCGTTTTCTAGATACATGGTGTAAAAGTTTTTTTTTTTTTAATCGGTTTTTATTTATTTTATTCCCACCAAAGAAAGGCCCCCCTTATGATGACAAATAAGCCTACCAAATTTTATTTAAATCGGCCAAAAGGGTTTTGAATATTTGATAAAAAACCGATTTTTGATTGAGCTCGAAGAATGTGTGAATATTTTTCAACAAAATATGCTGCTGAAGGGTAGTTAAAAAAGTGTTTCAAATGATACGTGCCTAAAGCGGCTAGGTTAGGATTGCAGGAAAATTCACTCTCAGAACGTTTCGTCAGAAAAACTCGCCCCAGATAAATTCCTTTCCTCGGAAAGTTCGCTTTCTCACCGTATAACTTTGAAAAATGATTATTCGTTCCTAAGAATGTTGGTCCCTTGCTAATTGCAACTAAGGTGTTCATTGCTTACCTTGGAAAATGTGTTCTAGAAATTTCAGCAACATATGTAACTAATTTAGAAGCTCGTTTCAGGAATATTCTGCCGTCGTCATAAAAGTAACTTTATTTATTTTCATTTTGTGTATAATCTTCATCATCATCGGTATCTCACGTCTTCGTGTTCGTCTAATGTTTCTTTTCTGTTTTTTTCTTATTCTTTCAAGATCTCTAATTTTGCACATCAGACTAATCTCTTTCTCGCCATTTTCCTTCCCTTAAATATTTCCGCATCCATTGCGCATTATCATTAATTTTCCCAGCGAACTTCCAATTTTCTCTCCCTAGTGTTGTAATTGTAGGTATTATCAGTCCCTTTTAGTAGTTCGTAATTATGTTATTTTAATCTCTTTCTCTCTACCTTTTCTCATCCATATATTTTCTTTCGCTATATTGTTTTCTTTATTCCCCTCATTTATCTGTAGTATTCATCCATATGTTGACAGGCACTTCCTCCTTCTCCTTACATATTGCCCTTATTCTTATCATCTTGAATGTTGCCTCTTCTTCTACTCCCCGATGTAATACCTTTGTTGTGTGCCTTGCAACTCTTCCCATTCCCTCCAGCTGCAAATTAAGAATCACTTTTTCACCTAATGCATGTAGTACATGTAAGTATACGGTCTATCGTTCTTCCATCTCGTATAAACCATTTCAGAGGCCCCTTCCCTTTCATTTCCCATTCTAGCAGTACCCTTATTAATTGTTCTTTCCACTCTTCTGGTAAACCTCCTCCTTTTCACTTTCCCACTAATGCGCTTATTTAATTTCATCTCTATCTTTTCTCATCATTGTTCGGTATCTATTTTTTTCTTCCGAACAATTCATATCCCGCATGTTTCATGATATTGCATTTCGCTCTATTGTCTTACATTCTTCTTCACATGAACCTCACGTTCTTCTGTAACTCTCGATTCTATTCTGTTTATATGTGCCCGCTCTTCAACAAAGAAAGGAGTGGTGGGCTAAAGAGTGTACAGATTAGTGAAACAGATATGGAGAAATGAGAGGGGAAATAAAAGAGGCGGGAGAACAGAAAAAAGTACAGAAAGACAGACAGAAAGAATACGAAGAGCAAATCAGGGAAATAAAGACAGGAAAAGAATTTTGGAAGGTGATAAACCCAGGAAAAAAGAAAAATAGAATAAAAATTTAACGTTTGTAGACTATACTGCGTGAACTTATATCGGGTTACGTGGTTTCAACGAGTGTGAAAGAAATACAATTAAAGGAAAAAGAAATGCAGTAGAAAGAGGAGGCTATGGAAGAGAAACTTGAAGCAAATGAGATAACAAGAGAGGAGATCGAGCACCAATTAAAAAGATGAAGAATGAGAAAGCGGCAGGGAGAGACGGAATAGATGATGACCAACACAGCGAGCAGTGGGAGTGGGGTGCTGGATGAGGGGGGAGAAAGCAATAAGTGGATAACTTAGATTTTATAGAGAGAAAGGGAAACATTTTGTTGTTAAAGTGTAAGTTTTGCCAAGCTGGCGTCTATTAAAAATTAATGAATAGAACGCAGTGCTTACCTTCCTGGAGTTCGTTCCAGATGCTACAGCCTGCGCTAAACTTAAGTGACTTTAACATTCTTTACCCATATAACACCAAGGACGGTTATGAGTGGTTTATTATTACGTAAAATAAACTTCACCATCGGGCAATCAGGTATCACCCTCGTTCCTACCATGAATCTATTACCTCTTCTATTACTTTTGCATTTACTATGCAAGTCATTAGGTCATTACCCTCTATCTTCTATTTTCTGTCAGTTTTAATAACTTTTCTCCTATCTCTTGCTTACCCTTTTCCATCTATATACTTCCGCCCTTTTCCCTCTCATCAACTATAATTTCCCAAATCTTTCATATCTTTTCTGTTTTAAGTTCTTCTACCTCGTCTATTTATATTTTTGACGTCGCTTTTTTCTCTCGATCGACTATATACTATCTTAATGTTCGTCCAAAATATGAATCATTATTCGATTTTGGCATTCAGAAATTTATTCGGCAGTTTTTTCACTTCGCTTACCCTACGTTTCAGTACTATTAAATAGAAAATTCAGCCTACTACGATGACCTGAGATTTCCAACCCTTAGATGAAGGGATGGGTGGATAGAATTCAGTCATAAAAAGTGTTTCAAAAAGATGCAGCCAAATGCAATGTTCCACCTTTGAGGGGAGTGAAGGGTAACGGACCTATTCCAGAAACAGACCGTTCATCTTAATACAACTTTTTAGAAAAAATGCAGTAAATTCCCATGAAAATTCCTATGCACTTTTACTATTTTGTTGTTATTGTTACTCATATTCATATACAGTCTTTACTTCGGAAACATGCCCTCCTAAAACGGGTAGTTTTTGGACCGCGACCATCTGTGCTTAATTTATTGTGGTAGAAATGAAATAATCCGTGGCAACGGTATGGGAATATACAGTTTATGCAAGAAAGTGTGTTCATGCAAGACCGATTCTTCTCCCAACCAAGAGTTGCTTTTTGCTCTATAAGATGATTATGCTATTTTATTAGGTGCATCGCTTGGGTGTTTATTTTTTCGTTTCTAACATATACAACTCAAACAATGATTGGACCGATGCTCGAGTCGCGTGCTGCGCTCTTGGTTATTGGATGAGGATCGGCCTTAAGCATCTTTTCTAAACTTAATATTTATTCCACCCCTCAATAAACGCACTTACATTCGACGAAGGAAGACAAACTGGAATAATATGCTGCTTAAATCTAACATTTCTGTCCAATTTCACAAGGGCAACATCATTCCTGAAATCAGACGGCGAATACGATGGATGTACTTCTTTCCTCTCCACCGTATATTCTTCGTGAGCAAATCTTTCGTCTTGATCCCGCACATCCCATTCTCCCAATCTAACTTTCAGATTTCCATTGGCGGTCCTAGACATTGAATTATTGCAATTTTATTCAAGTAAATAAGCTACTCACGTTGCGACACAATGAGCCGCAGTCACAATCCACCTTTCGTTGAGTAATGCACCACCACAAGCCAGCTTCTTCGACAGGAATCCCGTTTTAATTAGCGCCACCTGCCAAGGGTGCGAGGCGAAGACCGTTGAATGTCCTCCGACAATTCGATTGCTTCGTGTCATCAACTCTCCACAACCTACAATCATATCGCATTACCTTCAGAATGATGAAAGTGTAAAATAAGAAAGTGTTTAGGTGCTTAAAAAGCGCAATCAGGTCATAAAAATTTAAATGTTGCCTAAGAAAATCCCTTTTTTTCATTTAGAACTGAAAACAATAAAATTACCGTCGGAGGCGAATGCGGACAAAAAGTGGTAAATTGAATGTAATCCGTTTACCATTTTCATAAGTTTCCATTGTCCTGTAATTTATGGCATGGAACTTTAAAGTGTTTATTACTTGTGCTTAAAATTATTTATATTTTATGCGACCAGCTTTCCTAACGTAATTTACGTTTATCTACTCACTGAAATGAAAATTGCATTTCGCGTATGCGTCTAATGAAAAGTTATTGTATTCGCGATACCAAAAATGAAAGTGTTTTTAGATGGACGTCTTAAAGTAACCGTTTCTAATTAATTAATTTAGCTTCATTATTACACTATGAGTTCACAAATTATGGTTATGGTTTTTTTGTGGAAGTAAAAGTAAATTATTGTTACGTTTTCTACTCAGCGATGAAATCTACACTTTAATTGCTACTTCTTTTGACATATTTGGGCTGTTACTCAGTATACAAGTTTTCATTAAGAGGTATTTACTACAATGAAATGACATGAGCTAAAAATGTTAGAATAAGTCAAGAGCATCACGAACTCTTGTACATTTTGAGATTCAAAGGGGTAATCTAGCTATAACCCGCAAAGCTTAAAATAAGTAACTTTGATCTTGTCGTCAACTCATGTTTTTTTTTCAAAAAGAGGACAGCGCCCCTTACTAAAAACGTTACCCACCACTCCCTTATTTCTACGGTGGAATCAGATCTTTTTTATAATTTCATGATTTTTTTCCAATTTAAATCTTGGACTATCGACTTATACGTCGTAACTCAGACTTAAATCTCAGTAATTAAAATCTAAATCGGGATTTTTGGATTTATATCCAAATTGCGATATATAGGTTGGAATTGCAAGATTTAGCTTAGTCTGAAAATAATGATAAGGGGACATCAAAATGAACAATCTTTCCAGATAAAATCAGAAACCTACAAATATTTTATTGGGGAGTTAGGTTTTCAAAGTTCTTTATTTTCTTCGTAGTAACCAAAAATCCGTTACCTAGATTTTTTAAACCACAAGATGACATAGTGATTAGGCAGGGTGATCTTTGAACATAAACGTAACAAATCGTAATCTAATTTCTGAAATATTCAAAATCCCTTCCATATAGACGCAAAATTTTAAAATATTTCTACTTCCCCTCAATATTCAATAAAGTAGACGCATGTAGTATTTAAGAAAACTATTCTAGGCCTACATTCTGGAGATTTTTTTAAGTTAAAATCGTTTTCCTCGTGTAACTGAAAATTGACGTTGGATTTTTTTCGAATTTTTAGGAACTAATTTTGGATTCTTTATTTCCATGTTTAAAAGCCCCCTAGATACCAAATTTTGCACTGATTACTCTTTCCTCCAACACGTTTGTTATTTGTAACAATTTTAAAAAAGAAATTACACAATCGGGAGAACGCCCTTTTGCGTTTTATTGTACCTTTACATAAGTGGTTGTTTTGACTTCCATTCCATGCAGTCAAGTATGATACATACAGGATGAAGCAGATCTGTTTTTGATGGATTTTTAGGTTCGATATAAATGAAAGGGTTTGGAGCTTAAATGAGGAATATTTCCGAATATTGCGGCATATAATGGCAAGTAGTATGCGATTAAAAGTGAGTCACCTTTGGAATTTTTGTTTACATGAGAAATCGTAACTTGAACTTCCATATACGACTCGATCACCCGTTCTATGATACGTTTTGATAACCCCTGTATATATTTTTATATAATCGACCGTTCTGGTAATTTTTCCTAACCCTGTATAAAACGCTGACCACTTAACAAATTGAATATCGATGCCTTTTTTCATGATGAGGACACTTATTAACTATTATTTGTGATAAGTGTCTTTCAAATCATGATACCACCCTAAAATTTGGTATGAAGGCTTTTCTACAAGGATATTGTTTTATATGAAAACGCTGGTCATTAAAAAAATTGGCTACCGTTTTTACTTATCCCTAATTAATGATAGTTAATATTTGCATTATCTGTGTCATTTTGGAAAACGGCGCGGCGGCCGTCTTGTATTTCTTAAGTGGTCACCATTTTCTTATAAAACAATACCTTTATAGGGAGCACTACTACCAAATTTAATGGTAGAACCATCATTTGATACTTACCACTAATGATAGTTAATATAGGTCGCCATCTTGGAAAATCGACAACCACATTAAATTTTTTAAGTGGCCTGCGTTTTAAGATGAAACAGTACCCTTATAGAAGCATTTACTCCAAATTTCATGCTTGTATCATCAACTGAACGATTCAATTATTTCATGGCATTTATCTGCCCCACTAGAACGTAAACCATTACATCTAAAAAACAATGATCGCTCCAAATTTACCTATAATAAGATACTTGCCCTATTCTTCAGGGTAGAACGTTTGGTGCTGAAGCACTAGCGCTCAAGGGGGAAAGATTTGGGACGGAATTTGATTGTAAATTGAAATGTTCAAGCATTTTCTGAAAACATTATTCCGCTTCGTTTTTCAAAACTATAATTTCTAGTCCTATACCTACAATTTTGTACACATTTCGGAAACGTTTTTTCCCTCACATTCCCATTACTTCTGACGCATTTTTTAAAATTTTTTGAAACATGTTCAAAATTACAAAACGCTTCCAACATTTTAGGTACATTTTCAAAAACTTTTAAACGTTCTCCAATTTTCCAATTCCAATTTTTCTCCACTTTTCCAACATTTTTTAAACATTTCTGTAATATCAAATTTCAAAAAAAAATTGTTTCTTAAGTTTTTGAACAGTTTCAACATGTCTACACACTTCTGATACATTAACAACACCGATATGCAATAATAGCATACGGGTTATCCCAAATAGTATTTCAATATCCTGTGTCCACACTCGTTTTTCCGTAGCAAGTTGAAAACTGCATGAGGGAAACACTTGCCTTGCATTTATTAAGATCAAATCTCATTTTAAATGGCGCCAATGTCTTTAGTTAGTCAAACGACGTATCTGCCCAACAATCGCACAATTTTCCTTTCGGCGCGTCATTCGTGTGTAAATCTTGAATAGAAGAAATTTTAAGAAAGCGAAACCCAACACCGATAATTTTTGAACGACTTATTATAGAATAATGGAGAGTGAAATTTAGTCATTAGTGGTAATTAGTAAGGAAAGTGAGAGCTTATAAGCGTATAAGTGAATGGATGTAAAGTGTTAAAATGTTACCCCTGTAGTTAATGTCATGATCTCGCAGTGGTGGTGAGTGATGATGCTGGCCAAACTGCTGATTTGATGATGAATCGAAAAAAGTCCCCGAAGTCAACGGTGGGCGATCCACACTGTTAGAGTCGACGTCTTCGGAATATTCCGGTGTATAGTATCCCACCAGATGGAATAAGTCTGCTTAGTATCGTTAGTTTATTAGTAAAAGGTTTTTCATACCATGATATATATAATTTAAATTAGTGTCCAAAATGTAATAACCACATCCTTACGTGTTTCAATAGCAAATCTATACAAACCCCTGGAAGGGTAACATTATATTACACAATTGACATTTATGGGGGAATCCTTCATGTTTCAGTTGAACATAGCTGAAATTAACCGACAGATAAGTTTAACGGCAAGATAGTCCAGCACCTTTAATGTATAATTTTAAACTAAACTGGCATTTACAAGTGTGAATTCCTCGAATTACACAAACATGTAAATCTGAATTACACACAAAAAATAAAAGTTTCCCTTTCAGGACTTAGTACGCAGCATTTCCAATCCTATTTTGTTATCGCGATTTTCCACCGAATTCACTTACAAGGTTGACTAGAAGGGCACGTTTTATACTCATTCGAAACTAATGCAGAAAACCTTATTTGCAAACCATTGGTACAACCAAGGATTTTGGAGAATGTCATTACTTATTCTAACGTCTAAATGAAATCCGGGGTTGATATACGATTACGGTAAAATTCATCTCAAGTTATCCTTCAGTTGTCCTTGACTTGCTCGTAAATTTACCTCAAATTCGTTCCTTTAAATCGTTCTCAAATTCCCCTCAAACCCCCATACGCTGATTTCAAGCCGTTTCATTTAATTGGGCTTTACGTTCCCATCACATTCTCCTCAAATTCTTCAAAAGTTCATTTCAAGGCATATTCCATTTCCTCTTAGGTTTTTCTCCAGTTCTCATCAGATGCGTCTCTTCTCCTATTCTCAAAAATTTGCTGCTTCTCTCATGTTCCTTTCAAGTCACTCTTAAGTTCTCGTCGAGTTGGCATAGAGCACTCCTCTGCCTAAATTGTCCGAGAACTGGAAATTTTTCTGCACATATTTTCTCAGTCCGATCAAAAAGCGTTATATTTTGGTGAGTTAACCTGAAGTATCACTATGAAGTTGAATATTAATATTAACAAAGTATATAGTGCGGCTGAATTATTGTGGGCATAGGAAATGCATGGATTAAAAAACTGAAAAATCTACTCTCACACGTATACTTTTCCACATGGAGACATTGCATAATCTGATTTACTTCCAAAATGGATGAACGGTAAGTTTAACTCACCAAATTTGAATCTCGACCGGCATTCACAACAGTATAAGTAAATAAAACTGTAGAACCTTAGATTCATTAAAATCTGTTATCTTCTTCGATCGTCTCGATATCTTTCTAGAATCCTTCTGGAATTCTTTTAAAATCTTTACAACTTGTAACATTTTAGCATCGTTGAAATTTTCATAATTTTCAAATCTGGTTGGAATTCCATAAAATTAGTAGAGCCTTTGGCCCCTTATGATTTTAAGAACATTTAGAACCTTTGGAATTTTCAAAATTCGTAGATATACCTGATGCAGGATTAGTGGAGATTGCCACTTACTAAAGGTTTTTATCAAAAATTCAAATTCGCCGCCAGTAATAATATGAAGAGCTCATTTTAAAAACTAGGCCAGTCAAATAAGACGAAAACAAGGTACGAAGAATCGCATTACGATGTTCAGTAGGGGAATTTGTTGCCAATCAACTCGCATTCGAGAACCAAACCTTTAATCCGGCCCATATTCAATAGCACTGAGATTTTTCCCATTTTTTTACAGCTCTAGTCTCTACGCATATTTTCTACAACAGTGCATTTCAAATGAGCATAGCAAGTGATATTCTTATTGGTGGACAATTGATGGCAATTTTTGGAAAAAATATGGAATATTTGAAAGGCCGTATCTCGGAACTTATTGGCGACACAGAGCTACTTTTGGTCGCAAATTGTAGGAAATTTTATCTTCATCGTGAATGTTTTGGAGTTATTTTTCGGGAACTGAACGGTTTTAGACATATTTACGGAAAATTTAAAAAAATTCGGAAAAAATAAGAGTTTTTCGACCACCGTAGCACCGGTCTTTGGTATCTTCATATAATGAACTGTGCCTTCATTCTTGGATACAAAATTTAATTTCAACGAATCAAGGATGTCCATTAACTAAGTTTGGGAAAAATAGAGCGTCAAATTAAATGAAAAAGTCCAATCCCTCCTCATCACAACTTTCCACGAGTGTACCAGCGAAGATCTTTCATACCATGGTGTAAATGAATATGAGTGCTGTTTCGTTTCCAAATCGGGAGTAATTCGTTAATTAAGAAACATTTCGAGAAACATTTCTTTTGTGTATTCAATGCCAGTAGAGATCCGTATATAATTTAGTTAAGCTAACTTAACTTACAAGGTAAATTAGTTCAAAATCGATCTAGATATTAGAAATGCAGTCAACTAGAATATTAGCAGACTTGATGAGGCGAAAATCCAAAAAGAAGCAAAAACGCTACCGCAAAGCCACACGCACTTACTAGTAATTCAGGTTCAAGGCGCGTGAATTCACCGTTACAATTAATTTTCTGCCTTGCTCTTATAATTCCACCAAGTCGTATGAAAGATTTCTAATTGTAATAAACAGACACCGCGGAATTCCGTTGAACACGACAATTAAATAATCCTAAGTCGAGAGCATTAATTAACCAAAATGGTTTCGCGAATGTTACACCAACACTTACTAGCATTGTTTAGCAGACCATGCTCCGTAACTGGCGACGATGGATACTCGTTGCTGTTGGTTTCGTCTTTGTCAATGCAACATGACCATATCATGCCGCCGGAACATAAATCTAAAGGGCGTCCGCCGCCCAACACGCAACTGAAGCTAAGGCCGCACTCGTATTTGAGGCCTTTGTATCTGCAGGACTGCGGAATCACTGAAACAAAACAAGCGATTGTCATAACAAGTTTCTTGCGCAAAATAGTAAGAAAAAACAAAGCTATTATTTTAAGTTTTTTACTTTTCTATTTTGTAGAAGCAGAAAATGTGCACTCAGAAATGGTTTTACTTAAAACAAAATACGAAGCATCGTATACGTTTTCAGTAGAGGAATTTTTTTCCACTTAGGTCGCATTCAGAAAGCAGACTTTTAATCCGGCTCATATTCAATAGCACTGATCCTTGAACTCGTAAAAATCGATTGGCTAAGGCTCGACATCGTTATAGTATCGCTATAGTATGATCGAAAAACTCGTTCAGGCTGCGTAATTTTTTCCCATCTTAATATCTTGCAACTCACCAGAAAATCTTTGAAGATATTGTTAACTAGGCCGAGACATACATACAGGCTTTAAGTCTAGCATAATATAATATAAAATGTAAAATGCAACGATATTTGTAAAAGAACTTAGTGTTTTAAAGTTAAAACCGTTACAGCATTTTTGCATAATTGAGTTGTGAACGCCAATGGAAGTTTGTGTCAACTTTTATGACATTTTAATTAAATAACTTGTAAACTTTATACTAAGCGATCCAGGCAATTTCCAGTGCTACAACTCGTGGTCGGTATCCAGAAATATTCGGGTATGCATTTCTATTTACCTCGTCAAATATATGCAAGTGCGAAATTGCCGTCAGTTTGCACATTCCGCTTTCAAGTAAAAAAGAAAGTTTATTACGGCCTAGTTTCGTTAGTGTGTTGTTTGGGTTTAATGCATCCCTTAGCTAGTGTATAAAGTCAATGGTCCGTATGAATAAAAGTAAGGAAATGCTTATACTTGCAAAATTCAAAGTAAATACTCGTAAGTGCTCCTTCGCACTGGGCGACTTAGCAGCCCTTCTAAGCAGAAGGACAGGACGCAGTGCAGCGCTGCTAAACCATGCTAAACAGACCAGTATGAAGGGGCAGTTAAGAGTATTTACTTTGAATTTTGCAAGTATAAGCATTTGCTTACTTTTATTCATACGGGCCATTGTATATATAACAAATTGTCAGTTGTCAATTCGGAATTTAGTTGCTATACATATAGGCTGAATCAAATTCGATGGCGACCCTAGGGATCTCGGAAACTGTAGAAGATACATATAAAAAAAGTGGTTCCCCTTAGTTTGAATGACCGCAATTTTTATGACAATGGCAGGTCTGCATTATTTTTAAACAAGCATGAAAATTCTGCCAAAATTACGATCGGGAAACAGCACAGTCCATATGTTTGTTTTTTTAATTTAATGAAATGGGGTATTACTTTTTTTAGTGGAATATTTTTTTGTTAACATCATCGCGTAGTCAACTGTACCATCCAAGCGACCTGTCTTCATATTTCTAAAGGAAGCGGCATTTTTTGGGAGATAGGACCAATTGTAACTTGAAACGAATCTCACCAACGTCAATAATTTTTAGTTATTTTAAATGTTTGATTTGTATAAAGTAGAGCTTAAGAATTTGCATAAGAAATTTGGTTCCAAGTAATTTTAATATTCCTAAACGAATTGACCCGTTAAATTATTGGTCATTTTGTTTAATTGATTTGCAGTGAATTTCACTGATACCATTTCTTTGGTTGGATGAGAACCTTTTTTAATATTCATTATGTAGTAGATAAAATATTTGGATAAAGATCAAATTTAACACGTCATTACGAAATAAGCATTGCTTTTTTGTATTTCTTTTTTTGAATAAAAAAAAAGATCAAAGATCGGTTGCACAGAGCATCAGACCAAGACCAATAGATCGGGAAAAAGCCAAAAATGGCTTTTATGTGGGTATCAGGGGTTACTTCTGGAGTAATCAACCCCCCATTTCATCCCTAATTATAATTTGCCCGTTTTGCGCATGGCGAAAGGCTAAATAGTCCAGTCATATTAAGCTATATATGACGTAGCTGCTTAGCACCACCTAAAGGGGTAGGCAACCTGCACTGAAAGGTCTCAGATTATACACTTGAGTACCACAAAAACTTTGTGACATAATGACTTAGGTACCTTTGGGACTAATTATGCAAATTTGGAGCTAAGACACTGAAAAAAAATTAAACCAATTTAGAAATCGGCCTGAACCCCCACTCATATGAGCTTATACCTGTGCCCCAGTATAGTAGTCGACCCCAAATATTGTAAACGTGTTTTCATAACCCTGGAGCTTAGTAGATCCGAAAAATGGTCAAGTCGTTAGCAATCAGCATTTACGTAAGCAACCCCCCTCACCCACAACGGGGGTTTGAAAGCCAGATGAGCGTGGCGCCACGTCGGAACTTTAAGAGGAAAGGTCAAATATATATATGTGCCAATTTTCGTAGCTTTACCCAAAAGCAGGGGTTGGAACCGATATCCTCCGCACTATTTAGGTGTAATTAGTTTTTAAGGGTTCCAGTACCGGTTTCGGTTTTTAAGGGTTCCAACATAAATAAATATCATTATTATTAAAAAATAGAAATTATTATTAATCATAGAAAATAAATAATACATCAAATTAAAGTAAGTCTTTCTTTTGCATAAACATAGGTATTTTTTGGGTTTAATTGAAACTCTTTTTAGCTTACGCGTTCGTTTCACCACTGTCAACTACCTGTCTTTTTCTACTTTCCTTTTTTTCAGCACTAGTTTCAACTATTACTTTTCTCATACACTCTTCGACCCTCTTACTGTTTTTGATTTATATTCGGTATTAGTCACTGTCAAATATTTCATATTTGTTTAATATTAAGGTTAATTTGTGGGCAGCTCTCAATAAAAGTGAGAATTTAGGTTTTTGCAATTTCTTGCAAGTTCTACAACCCTGAACATAATTCAGGAGGCAAGAAGGGATGAAAGTGCATATTTCCAGAAAGTATTATATGCTGACTCTCTAGATGCTTTTAGTTTGCTACCAAACTGAATAAGGTTAAATCTAAGAAAAGTTTTTAACACCAACACTTCAAAATCAAATTTTAAGAGCAAAAATATAGAACGCAATACAAAATATTCTGGGTACAACAGATCTGTACACAAAATCTTCACTTAATGGGTGAAAAAATTGCAAAATGCAATTTCCACATTGACAACCTTTGCAAAGGTTTAGATACATGGTTCTACTCTAAAATGTTCTTTATGTTACTAGCAGCTGCGATACACATTGCACAACTAAACAAATCTGAGATCGTTGGACAATATGAAGAAATGGTCATAATTCTTATGAATTCCACAGGAATGACTTTCCAGAAAAATAAGGAATCGTGTTTAATTTTTTAAAATTATGACAATCTATAATAAAAAACAAAATCAATATCAAATTTCATGATTTTATTGAAGTCAGGCGCCTCGTTATGAACGATTTTTAGCAAATCAAAGAAATCCATAAAAATAAGTAGTATCACTTGCGATGTAGACATTTTTGAAATGGAATGTACATGCTGTCCCACTTGCCATCTGTTTAGATTAAAATATACGAGGTGTTCCATTAAAAAAAATGAGAATTAAGTCCGATAGCTTTTTTGCCTAACACCGTATAAAGCAGATTATTCAAACAATCAGTAATAACATTTTTTCTGTATCTCTTTTAACGAGGGCTATTCGGAATTGATAATTTCCCCCTCTATCTTTTAAGCGACGGAATATTTTCAAATTTTGATCCTACCATTTTAAGTTTGACCCAAACAGACCACGTGACGCAGATATTATTTTTCTGATATCAGTAACAATTACTACTATACCCTACAAAGTGTCGAAAGGGACACCCTGTAGTTTTTTTCATTCACGATTTCTTCAATGAATGGTGATGAAATTTATAATATTAGTTTATTGGTAAAAAGCAATGCTTTGAGTAATTAATATAGATCATTTTATCACTCTTGTTTGCGTATTGATCACAAATGGCTCTTTCTAATTTACTATATTTAACACTCTCTCTGTACTGGTATTTTGCATGTTAGGGCGGTAATGATCGAATAAGCATTAAGAGTCTCCACACAAACTGCAGTTTTTTTAATTAAAATAGCAAGGATTCAGAATTCGATAGATTCAGGGTTACTTCTAGTATATATTAGGTAATTATGTTACCTAATTCGCATACTTAAATGAATTTTTGATCTCAAATGAAAATATTTTCAGATGCGAGATAAGAAAACAGTTCTTTTCATACTATTTTGTCATTCACCACAACATAGGTGTTTAAATATTTTCCAATATAAATAAAAAGTGCAGTTTCCTTTTTTGAAAATATCGCAATCTAACCATCCACTCCACAAGTTATTTAATATTAGGTAATAGTACGAAAAATCCGTTTTATTGATTAACTTATAACAATATGCTCATCTTGTACACCCTTATTTACAAGTACCATCATAATTCCCATTGTGGATTAAAAGGGGGCTCATCGTCTACAATAATGAGCCTCTTAGGTTCTCATAAAGCTATTGCATTGCCAAATTACCCTTTTATATAGAGATTTACCCCCAAAATAAATAATTTTAGAAGACATCCCAGTAGAGTAAAATGTTGGTTCCTTACGTACGTCAAATTTCAACAAAATAAATGTTTCACAGTACATGATCAATTTTAACAACATGTAAGCACGAAAAGTAATTTTTATAAGTAAGCAAACATCGCGGATATACTTTTTAATTATAAAGAAAGGAAATAATTAACCCAGTCGCTTGCATGCCTGTAACAATGAAATTTGGACGACATGCACATGAAGATGACGCAAGAACAGCCGTTTAAATGCGCGCATTTAACTAACAGAGCGAAGAAAAGAAATTAAAATCGAAATCGATACTGTATAAACAACACTTGCCGGGAGAAAGTAATAATTTCCTAAGAAATTCAAAACAATTTTTATAAATAAAAAAATTTAAAAAAAAGTGTTAACCTACTTTTTCCTAACATATCAATAAGAATTCCTTGGGTGCTTTCTAAAGATCCACCTTTCTTCCCTAATGCGTTGAGCATCATTAGCTCCTC